CAGAACAAGAGGTACTTTTAGCCTGACACTGCTCTGAAAAGATCGCCTGAGGGAAAATGTGTTGTTTGAAACCTGGCAATAATTGATAGGATGTATCAGTCTATGGGAGGAGCATGTAGGTAGTACCTCCCTACACTACTAGCTGGGCTCTGCAGCACACAGCTGGGAATACAGGAAGGGAAGGGCCCAAAGATCAATGGCTGTGCGCCCGCTTTGCACTGGAGTTGGTCCAAAGTTCATCCTGGTGACTTCAGTTAAAAGACCTCAGGGTCAATTTCCACGGGACAGAATTCACAGGGTATGAGACACTGGGGACTTGGTCCAGACTCAACTTGTAAACTCCATCACAGTCCCACATCACTTGTATGTTCTCTCTTCCCCCATGTATTATTCCCACTCTTGATCAGACCTGCAGCACAGTACAGAAGGAGCTCCAATCCACCTCTGCCCATGTAGTTATCTCAAACAGAAAACATTTGGGAAAGGAACTGTTTGGCTCACTGAGGAAGACCACATAGTCTTCCCCAATGGGTTAAATAACTCCCCTCCCCCCAAACACACCATTTCTGCGCAGAACAACAGTGCAGGGAAGGGGGAAAGCTGAAGTTCCCTCTGCACCACAACATGGTTCTGATCCAGAATGGAACAGTGTACTGGGGGAAGACAGAAGAACATACAAGTAATGTACAGCTATGATGACATTCACAGGCTGGGTCCAGGGTTCCTACCCTGTCTGTCTTGTGGAACTCAGTCCTCAGGTAGCAACTGCCATAGAAGACTTCTCTCCTTCTCTCTGCCTGATAGCTTGGAGCGCCACTGCCGGTTGATAGATGCCCACTGCATAAGACATAGGCACTGAGGCCCAGCCTTGCCAGACAACCCTAAACACCTTCAAAATTAGGCAAAAAGGTGGTCTGGGTAGGCTTGTTGTTTTTGTGCCAGTGAAACTCCTTGAAGGCTTCTGCTGTGTTTCAGACCAAAGGTGTGAAACAGACCCTGCTGTGCTTCGTGTTATAAAAATGCCACAGCTGCCACTGTTGGAAAACAGAGTGATTAAAAAAACAGTGTGATAATTACATTGCTTCAAAGATGCATCTGGTCTTTTTTGGAGGGGAGGATTTTGCTGTATCAAAAAGCAGTTTCAATTAAAATGGCAGATTACACCTTGTTTTGGAGGGGGAGGGGAGATGTGCATCGTGCTAGAAAGAAGGGGGCGACAAGTCCGCTCTAGATGGGCAGTCTCCATAGGTAAAGCACAAAATAGAACAGATGAGAGAAAAAAAAATGTATTCCATGCAGTCTAAAAGATGGTTACATGCAAAGCAAGAAGGTGAGAGGTCCAAGTACCAGGTCAAAGGTTGCCTCGAGGGGTCGCTTCAGTGATCGGACAGCTGGCTGAGTCTTAATTAGCAGGCAGCGAGCACATGATGGTAATGAGCCAAGGGGGGGTTTTCAAGCACAACAACAGAAAACAGCAAGCAGAGGTGCATCAAAAAAGGAGAGCGACATTGTGGAGTAGGTGAAGAGAAAAAAATAAAATGAATGCATTATACAATATATATTAAAACAGACTACACATGCACAACACAGGGGCTTTGCTACCATTAACCAGACAGTTGCTCTGGGTGGCTCCTTTGCTTTGCTACACTTTACGGGGAAAAAGCTGTACCACCGCAGGGCGTTTGTAAAAGGCACCAGAGCTACAGAGACCTTTGCGGCATCAGACACTGTAGGGTTGTTTTGCAACAAGCACAGAGAACATGGAATAAATTTTGAACAAAGAATGTAGAGAACACGATCAAGCCTTTGTGCATTCTGGTATATTAAACGGTTGCTGCAAAGGTTTTTTCCTTTCCTTTCCTTTCCTTCTTTTTAAAAAGAGGTGTTCCTAGTCCTCATGGCTGCAGGAAAAAATATGGAAAGATTTGTGCCCACCCACAATAACTCTACATTATTTCAAAACCTAAATCACAAAAGTAGAATAAAATTGTGTGGAACTAAGCAAATACATTCAATTTGTATAAAGTGCCTTCCAGTGGTAGAATCTGACATCCCTTGGCAACTGGATATGCACAGCTTGGAATTGCAGCACCACACTTTTACACTGATGCCAACCCCAAAGCCTAAAAGCAAACAGAAGCCCTGATTTGGACCCACCTTTCATTTTCTGAACCTCAAATCCTGCCCCCCCACCCCCGAGAACATAAGGGGTTGTCTGAGGTTGGGAAAATGGTGCGAGTGGGAAAGGGTTAATTCCTTCCTCATGTTGCAGCAGATATGTCACACATGCAACACACACTGGGAGCTTGTGAGTGCCAGAGAGGTACCAAAGGGCCTGTCCATGGTGGAGAGTCAGGCTTCCACTCCTGCCAGCCCACCCCTCCCCCACTGCTTTCTGGCACAGTCAGGAGCACATGGCATTCAGTATGCACTGAGGTTTCATGATCTAAATTTGACTAATGGCACAGATCCTTCCTCCTGCGTGAACATACACACACATCCAAATCCTTGGCTACCACTTCTTAATCATCCTCGACGAAGCAGTGTCTAGTTCTCCAACTGCATGACAGCAGCTTTCCGTGTTACTACTTCTTGCGATGACGCCCCCATTTTTTTGCCTTGCAAAGTTGTGCAAACATTTCTCGTGAAATGGAGCTAATTTGGCTCCTGGCCAGGCACGTGAGCTGCCTGAACCACTTCCCAGAATTTTGAAGTCTGTGGGTCTGGAGAGCAGCCAGACATAGTGATTACCCACTGAAAAGCAAGGTACGATTTCAGCACTGATAAAGGGAGGTCTTGTTAGTGGGCTGCCTGGTTGGAACTAACACTTATAAGCCGGACTGAATCACCCGCTGGGCTACAGATCAGGGCATCACTCACTCAGTGCCTTCATTGCTGTGCAGTTATCCGAGACTACATCTGCCTATACAGGCTTCCTGCACTCATGTACCCGACTAATGTGGGTCCTCATTCTGCCCTTCCCTCCCCCAGTTTAGAAAGTCATTGGTGAAGCCTCTTGAGAATCGGGGGAAGGGAAAGCTGCATTGTACAGCCTGATCTTGTTCGATCTCGAAAGCTCAACGGGGTCGGTACTTGGAAGGGAGACTACCAAGGAAGACTGCAGAGGAAGGCAATGGCAAACCACCTGTGTCTCTCAACTGCCTTGAAAGCCCCTTGCTGGGGTTGCCTTAAATTGGCTACAACTTGATGGCACTTTACACACCCATGAGAAGCAGGCAGAAGCTGCAGTCTGGAAAACAACCGTGCCATCCCTTTCCTTCTGTCCACGTGGAGCTGCTTCCTCATGATTCCGTGGAAGGTGAGCAAAGTAAAGGGTGTGACTTGTCCAAACAAGCTGGGGCACTGAGCATCTGTTTAAAGTCAAGAGTTTCTTTTCCTGTTCACATCTTATCAGGAATATAGTTTGGGTAACAAGGACAACTTCATCTACATTTTGGACCACACCCACTTTCCCAGATGTCTCAGTGTGACTGATGGCACACATGAATCTTGAATATGAATGGTCCTTTTCAATGTTTAAGTATGCCCCAAAGCCTGTTTTATAACTAGCTACTCTCTTGATATCTGTGGTAAGCAAACTCTCCCGGGCAGACAATCTGGCAACATTCTATAACCCGGAAGAGAACACCCCCCCTTCTGAAGCTATAACTGTGCTGCCCAGCAAGACTAGGTTCATTTCATGTCAGGGTGGCGAAATCTGATAGATGAATCTACAAGGCTGCCCCAAAAGCTCAGGAGGCACAATCAAAGCATGAAACCTTGACAAAGTTAATGAATAATGCAGAGGCTATTTGGGTGGCAAGACCTTGGCATCGAGCGATCAATAAATATTTTAAGCAGGCTGGTTAACGGCACACCAGTAAGGTGAGTTAGGTTTACACCGGAAAGGGACAGCATGAATTAAAGATGATCTGGGGCGCCAATGTTGCAGTTAAGATGTCAGGGATTAGGACTGATTAACAAAAGAACGCAGGAGCAGATATTTCCAAAGGGTCCTTTCGAGCAAGAGTGCTTAGACTTGAGTGTCAGTCATTAAGGAGTGATCTTTTTAAATGCAAGAACCCTCATTATGACATGCTTCTTGATTCCCATGGTAATGATAAAGGAGGGAAGTGCAGATATGACTATTGCCAAACAAATTGATTCGTCAAGAAGCATCTTTCCAGTCAACATTGAATCTATTGGAATGGATGCTGGTTCAGTTTATTTGTGTGTGTGTGGGGGGGGGGAGCGTCTAATCAACATGGCTTTATGTCTGAGGGATAACTATTTAGGTTTTACTTTATGAAGTTCTTGCTAGGCTAGAAAGTGTGATTCCTAATGAAGGATCCTGGAAGAACAATCTTGTAGAGGTGAACGTTGGAAATCCCCTCCTACGCCCCAGTTCAAAAGCTCAGGACTTTGCCTGTGATGACTCAGCAATTAGAAAGCCAGTGTGGAGCTGTGATTACATTGCTGGACTAGAACCTGGGAGATGCAGATTCAAATTCCTACTCAGCCTAAAACTGACCCTGGGCCAGTCAGCCTAATCTACCCCGCAGGGATGTTGTGAGGAAAAAATAGGGGGTAGGCAATCATGTTCACCACTGAATTCAGTAGAGGAAGAGTGGGATAAAACTATAACAGGCAGAAATGTATTATACCGTAAACCTGTTTTTCCCCCTCTCCCAGCTCAGTGGTGCAGAGAATAATATTCATAATACACAGTAAAGGCTATGGTCTCAGTCTAATCTTGACATATGTTACTTTCCTGCACTCCAAACTTGTCTCCAAATAAGCTTTTGCTTTCAAAGCTGTTCCAGTTCAGCTCTAGCCTAGCCTACTTCTCCCCCACAAAGCCTGTTTATAAATGGCGGTGTACGTGGCAATCTAAGGCTCTTCAAAACAGGACAACAGACCTTCACTTACACCCCTCTTTTGCTCTGCAGACCAAACACACAAAACTGAGCAATGCATTTCGATGGAGGTCATCCGCTTACCATTGTGGCTGCAGCAGTTTGATTCACCTGGTGTTGAGCTGCCTTGATTTTGGCTTGCAGGTGTGCAGGGGGATGAAAGTACTTGCATTTCTCCCTAGAGCATCGCCCTTTGATGTAATCCATGCAAACTGTAACAGTGTTCTCATTTGTGTCTATCATGGCAATATCTATCGGGTGAGCATAACGGCAGTCGTTCTCACCACGTGTGCAATTTCCACGCTGAAACTCTCGGCAAACCTTAAAAGAAAGCCACATGATTCAAGGGGAGGGGGAATTAGCAATCACACTCCCCTTTTCATTCTTCAACAGTGACTGACAAGGGACCACATAAAACCAAGTCAGGAGAAGACAGGAGGACAGTCAATCCACTAGACTTAACCAAGCCCCACCTCCCATTTCACCATGCCTCTATCCCAGATCCGTTTTTTAAAGGGAGCAGGAGGAAGCTCTCTATTGCTCTCTTTCTGTCGAAACAGGTGCTCGCATCCTATTCCCTGTTTTCACTCATGTTTCTTTTGCCGACTGAGGCACTCCTCTGCTGCAGAGCCCACATTTCCTGGGCACTGGGCACTTCTTCTTACTCAAGACCAGTATCTTTCAATGAACAGCAATGCACCTAGTGTAGGAGGAACAGGTGCTGCAGCAAAAGGACCACCTTCTATTTAGCACCCAATGAAGGACAAATGAGTCGAAACCAGGCCTAGGATCCAAAGCCAGGATTCCTGCCATACTAGTAGTTCAGATATATGGGCTCTTTCCTCTTCCAGAGTCTGGCAACTTCTGGCCATGTTTTTAGTCAGTGTTGATATAAACTCTCACCACGGTCAAAATGTTCAGCCAAAATACAGTGTTCTGATGAAAAGGAGTCCTCCCTCTCCCCAATACAGAACAACTTCCACATTTTAGAACACCCATTTTAGCTCTACTGAAGGCTTGTATGTGGATTTTTAAAAATAATTTTTAATTCCTCTCAACCCAAATGTGACTTTGTTAATTAATCCGGTCATTTAGGCCCCAGTCACTAAGAGGGACCCCCAATTAAAACAAACACACACACGTAAGATAAAAATTGGCCCTGTGGATATTGGAGACGTGGTGCTGGTGGGTTTATTTTAAAAAAAACCTTTCAGAGTTTGGATGGATTTTAAGTTGGCTACCTCCTCCTTGTGAACTCAGGGGGGAAAAAATCTCTGCATTTTCTGATTTCAGGTCGGATAATCAGCTTGGATGCGAAACTAGTGATCCTGTTTAGGAGAACAATTGCCTATATAAAACTTTTAAACTTCCTTCACTCAACAGAAGCTGAAGCAAGCTTCCACCTGAGACGGAGCTGCCCCAAATAACCAGGGCTTCCTCACTGGCCTCATTGCCTCTCGAGACTAACAAGCGCTTAGAAGAGCATTCAGCCATTTTCTCTGCTGTACAGAACTGCCTGGAATCCAGTACAATAATTCTGTGATCTTTGCAAGGAGGTGTGGCCAGGGAAATAGAGTTGGGACTCCCCAGCCCATGTAAACAAGGCCTGTTGATTCAAAATGACTGTCTTGAACCAACTAACTCTTGAATTTCCCTGGTTTTTTAAAAAAGCCAACAAGAACCCCTACAAAATAATTTTAAAAAGGAGGTCCTAGGGATTTGGGTCAAGTAATGGCAGTTCTGCTCTATTAACAATACTCTCAAGGGCTTTTTCTGACTCATCCTGGTAGCCAGTTACTGCATTATTCACAGTAGACTTCAACTCATGCACAATGGAAGCTGCAAAGCAATTTTGAACAAACATTGATCTAACTTATAAAAAGGATAATGCTTACTCCAACATCAATAAAACTGGCCTTAAAAGCTTCCTTGCCTCTGAACCAGGATGCCCCAAAACATTATATTGTTATCATAGAACATTTCAGACCAAATGGCTCCCACTTAAATATGGCAGTAAGGGTTAGACAATGCAAATACCTCCAGTTTATCTGTCCTCATCAATTTCTGCCCAGCAGAGCCTCCCGGTACCGAAACGGTTGGGTTCCCAGATACCAGGACAGGCGTATTTGGTAACAGCTCTGCAGGAACTAAGCCCATTCCAGGAGAAACATGACTTAAGTAAGGGCTGAAAGCCATGGTGGGGCTAGTTGCGAGCGAAGGAGTCACAGGAAACGTAGTCTGTAAGCAAAGGAAAGCAAACGAAACAGTCAAGGTGGGTGGCCTCAACGTGTGCCAGTCTTTGGAAACAATTATCTGCGAGGAGAACTCCACTCCTCAGTCTATTAATTTCCTGTCATTGGCTCGTGCTCCTCTCCTCCCTCTTTATTGATTCCCACATACCGGGTGCATTGCATTTCAAGCACACAGCATCTTTATCAGTAAGGACAAAGAATGTCCCTGATCATTACCGGTTTAATGGCACAATTAAGGGGGCTCCTCGGGCTATTAGGAGAAACCCCCCTCCCCCAATCAATCAACCCTTCAAGCAACAAAAATGGAAGGACCCAGCCAATTCTGGACTTGAGATGAGTTGGGATGAGCTGAGGACGGGTTCTCAGGGATAAGAGAAGAGAGCACATGGCTCCTTGTGGTGCTACATGCCCTCAGGAAAACAGCAAGGACTGGAAGTAGGGTTGCTGGGTCGTCAATCTGGCAGGGGGATTGGGGGAGCGTTCTGGAGGGAGGGGATGTCACGTGATGCAATGATGTCACATGGATGTGACATCATCGTGTTGGCGACGCTGGGGACAGATCTGGAGGGAGGGGATGTCACGTGATGCAAAGATGTCACTTGGATGTGACATCATCGTGTTGGCAATGCTGGGGACAGAGCTCTAGTTTTTGGGTGAAATTCTATGGTAAATTTGCCTTCAAACCATAGAGTTTTGCCCAAAAACCAGAGCGTCCCCAATGCGATGATGTCACTTCCAGGTGATGTCACAGCATCGAAGATGTCATGCGGCAACGTCCCTGTTTAGGGTCAGGGTTTCCCCCACCAGCCAGCTGGTCCATGCAAGGAGAAGCCCCCAAAATCGGGGGAACTCCTGCTTGGACCTGGGGGTTGGCAACCCTACACACCAGAACTGTATGTTGGGCTCTTTAGAAGGTTCAGCTGCCTGGCTCACTGGGACTTTGCTGCCTGCCAGGTTACCTTTACAGGCCACCCCCTAAGATACCTTGCATGAATCTTTCTAGCAGTATAAAAGCTAGGCCTCTGTTCTTCCATGAGTGGTACAACAGAATACTAAGCCTTTTCCTAAGCTGTATCTTGTCCCCTTCTTCTCCCTGACCAATAATAATGCTGCAGAACAGGCCACTACACACAAACGTGTCCATACCCTGAAACATGCCTAGTAGCCGACACAGGATAGGCAGGGCCACATTAAAGCCAACTGATGCCCTAAGCGCAGCCCAACAATGGTGCCCCTCAGCCCTTCCATTGCTTAACTGACAAGACACTGAAACTCAATAAGTGCTGAAAGTGAAATAAGGGCTTAAAAATTCAGTTTTCTTTCAGGCCAGAACCCACAATTATATTAAATATAAAATTTTATTTTTTTAAAAAAATTATTTAACACAAAATAGCAGTAAGCAATATAAGCAACCCCCCTCTGTGGTGCCCCTAGGGTTGCCAGCCTCCAGGTGGGGCCTGGAGATCTCCTGCTTTTAGAACTGATATCCAGCTGACAGAGATCAGCTCCCCTGGAGAAAATGGCTGTTTTGAAGGGTGGACTCTATTGGCATTGGACCATGCTGAGGCCCCTCCCCTCCCCAAAGCCCTCCCTCTCCTGGATCCACCCCTGGAAGCTCTAAGTGCCCCCCCTCCCTTGGTGCCCTAAGCCCCTGCTTATTTTGCTTCACAGTTAATCCAGGGCTGAGGATAGGGCTGTTTCAGCCACAGCCCCACAACTCTGGAATTCGCTGCCCCCAAAGGTCCATCAGGTCAGCTCTTCCAGTAACTTGTAAAGAAGTTTTTATTCCAGAAAGCATTTGGTGTGGATTTTTAGAAAATCCCCAAAAGCTGTTTTGTTCTGTATATTCTATTGTCAATTTTCTGCCTGTCTGCCAATTTTAATTTTTTAACCTCTGCTCCTTTTTAAAAGCTTCCATGCCATGGTTTTTCATTATTGCTTTTATTGGATTTGGATTTTTTTTAAAAACACAGTTCCCCACCATTTTATGATATTTTCATTTTTGTGTTGTGAACCAGTGTGTGTAAAGAAACTTGGCACAGATGCCAAGAGCTCATCAGTGCCCCACTGCGGCAAAAAGTCAAGGGTTAGGATTTGCCAAACGCGCGGCAGCACAATTAACAATAGCTAAAGATATTTAAATCCCTAGGTTGCTTTCCAATTGCAAGTGCGAAGAGCAACACACACATTACTCGGAGTGAAATCTGGATATACTCTTAATGAGGAGTGACAACCAATCAAGCTCACTGGTTAGTGCAATACAGGACCTATGTGTTGCACTTGACACTTAACATCTTTTTTAGGCATACACTTTAAAATTTTTGCGTTGGATACAGCCAGCTTTTTCCACCTCCTTACTGCAGCTCCAATCCCATGAGGCTTTTTGTCCATGCAGGTCTCATGATTCCCAGCATAGCCTCTTTGAATGATCAAAAGGGAACCCTTCCTTCCTTTTCCACTACTAGAAGAGACGGAGCCCAGTCCTTTAGGCTGAATATAATATCTGAAGTGTCCTTTAAAAATAATGCATTTGAGAGGTGCCTTCTGATTTATAAGCTGGCAGAATGTCAAACTCAGACAAACCCTTCTGAGATTCAGAGCAAAACTGGCCCTCTTGTGAATCAGGTTTTCAGACCAGCATTACCAGCTCCCATTGATCATCTATTTGCCTCCAATCATATAGCACAGGCAAGGAACTGTGGCCAGATCTGTGTAAATGTAGACAAATGAAGGAAGGAAAATACTCAGTGGGATTGCTCCTCGAAGTCTTCCAACCTCAAAAGTACCAGTGGTGAAACCTGAATTACTCGTCTTTACTTTCCTCCCTCCTGCCTGGCGCTGGCCAGCATAATCACAGTGAACTTGGAGAGATCCAAACACTGTGCTGCTTTCTTTTGTAAAAAGCACAACCTTAGCACCTGTCCTACTTCTGCCACTACTGCATTGTTCATTCTATTTTAAGACCCTTGTAACCCGGTCATGGGTAATTGTGTTAGGCCAGACTCTGACACAAGCTGTCACCACTCCAAGTTTCCACACTTATGGGTTCTCAGATTTTTCACTAGGCACTTGAGCTATATGAGTTTTGTTCCATGTTACTGCACTAATAGAAACTGTCACCCTAACAAGTTCGGACCAATTTCCCCCAAGAGAATTGAGCAGAAGCCCTGTATGAGCAAAGATTACTGAAATGGGAAGTGAGATAAGAAAAGGTGGGCACCCTTTTTAATATGTCTGATATATTTTGGTTTCTTGAATAAGTTTTTGTTGTTGTTGTTGTTGTTGAACCATTCCCTACTTTCCCCCACGCTCTTCAGAGTTACTGCCACCCACAATGCCTTGCTGAACCTCTTAGAGAAATCAAGAATCCACAGCTTTTCTTGGCACAGAATTTGGATTTCCCAAGCACAAGATTGCAGTTTGTTTTTAGAATAGCATGGATAGCTCAATTTCTTCTAAAGCGCAGGCCCAGAGCACGTTCCCCTCATCCTAGGCCCAGCTCTCAGACATGTAAACCCCAAACAGAGGAGCATTTGCCTCTGGACACGTGCAGAATGCCTCTCCCTTCATCAATGAGTAACCACAGCAAGATCTGCAAGCAGACAAAAGGTTTCCATGGAAGCGGACATGACTTGCAGGCAGCTCCGAACCTCGACACCTTTCAGTTTAGAAATTAAGAGCTGGTTGCTGTACACCATTTCACAGACTGGCATTGCTGGGTTCCAATTCCCGGTGCAATAATGACTGCGAGCAAGAAGATTCACAGCTGCGTAATGGTGAACTCTTTGGAAACACAAGAGACATGAGCCAAGGCTTAAAAAAAAACAAAAAACAAAGGGGAGAAAAAAGCGCATTCCCATGCTATGACGAAATCAAAGTCTGAAAGCTGTTGTTTGTGCTCAGCCATAGAAATATCCAGGCACGCACTCGCTCGTACAAACTATTAAAATTCATTTGTGCTTCTGAATGCGCTCCATGCTGGTGACGCAGCTGCACTGTTTCCAGGATGCCAGTCAAACGCAGAGGCCAGCACCAGCCCCTCCCTCTCCTAGGCGGCTCAGAAAGCGCTTCTGGGGCAGTGGGCTGTGCTCACCTCTCTCTTTACAATCAAAGCCTCTTTTCAAGTTTTATTTCATTTATCGCCATTCCTCCCTTGAAGAGGAGGGTTAGGGTTACGTAGAGCTCTCCACTTTGTGAAGATAACAGCGTGGCTGCCAGTGCTGTTTTTACTTCTGCTGTTGAGGTGGAGCAGCAGTTGGAAGAAACCTGGACAACTGCCAGGTATTGACATAAAACAGCCCAGATTTGCTTCTCTTTTAACTCACCAAGAAATTCGATGAGACCAAGATCGTGGTTTAGAGACAGGCAGAGAGCACGTCCAGTCTAGAATCTGAGAACAAGGAGTCTCAGATAAAGAGAAGGAAGAGAAAGGTCTCCTTGCAGATATGGAAGGCCTGACTCTTCTCCTTTCTTATTTACATAGCCATTAAAATGCACAGCACTTTATAGCATACAAAAAGGCAGCTCTCTGCCCCAAGGAGCTTACAATCAAATATTTGCCATATGGGCGCCATGACCTGGATACCCCAGGCAAGCCTTCATCTTGTCAGATCTCGGAAACTAAGCAGGGCTGACCCTGGCAAGTATTTGGATAGAAGGCCTCCAAAGAATACCAGGGCCAGGAGGCAGAGGCAGGCTATCAAGCCACTTCTCTGAACGTCCTCCTTGCCCCAGTAGGAATCACCAGAGGTCGCTATGTCTTTTAGGCATGAGTGCACACGCGCGCGCACACACACACACAAAAATATTTGCCAGATGCGGCACAGGGAAGGGTGGGGAGAGAAGTGTAGGTGGGACTGAACAGTATGCATTCGTTTAGGCTTCCTTCTACTAGGAAAGGGGGACTAAGGGGTTGTGCCAAAGGCTTCTTGGAAAACGTAGTTTTTTTCTTCAGGAGGAATTTGAAACACGAGAGAGCCCTAGAATTACAAGGGGCCTTATAGGCTATCCAGTTCAACCCTCTGCTTGGTGCTGCGATTCCAAGCTAGAAAAACCCCAACAGAGAGCTGCCCAGCCTCTGCTTCAAGACCTCCAGTGAGGAAACCCCCCCCCCCAAGGTAACTGGCTCCATTGGTGAACTGCTGTCTTCATTAGGAAGTTCAGCCACAAGCTACTCTCCTGCAACTAAAGTCCATTAGATCTAGTCTTGCCCTCTGCAGCAGCAAGGTGTTTGCCTTCTTCAATGTGATAGTCCTCCGTGTATTTGAAAACACATGGTCCTCTCTCCTCTGTCTTTTCCCCTCCAGACTAAACAGACACCCTTCCTTGTAAGCCACTGACCACCTTCATTGTGCCCCACCCCGAACCCGTTCCACTTTGTGTACCCCTTGCTTAAATGCAGTGCCCAGAACTGGACCCAGTACTCCAGGTGAAGGGTGACCAGCATGGCATAGAAAGGAATGATTCCTTTTTGTGACCTGGATTCTATGTTCCTCTTAATGCAGCCTTAAAACCACTCAAGCCTTTCTTTTTTCCTCTTTTTTTTGGGCAGCTGCATCCCACTGTCAACTTGTGTTCTGCTTCAAGGTGATCCTGAGAGCGTTTTCACATGTATTCCTGCTAGGGTTGCCAAGTCTGGCAAACTCACCGGCGGGGGAAGGCTTCTCCTGCTCCGGGAGCCGGCTCCGGATGCACCGCCAGCACGTCGACGGAAGTGACCTGCGACGTCACTCACGTTGGGGGCGTGGCCCAGCTCGTCTGGGGGAAAACCATATGGTTTCCCCCCCAACGATCTGGGCCACGCCCCCAACATGAGCAACGTGGCTGCATCACCTCTGGTGACGCAGCCTTGGGGGGCGGAGTTCCCCCCGGGGCCCGATTCTGCCGCGGCGGAAATCGGGCCTTCAAAGCAGGGGTTTCCCCGCCCCCCGCCCAGACTTGGCAGTCCTAATTGCTGCAAAGCCAGGTATCCCCACCTTCTTCCTATACTTGTGCATGTGAGTTCTAGTTTACCCCTCCTGGTTTTATGTTGCCTACAAATCTGATAAGGATTCTCACTGCTGTTTTATCCAAGTCACTGATAAAAATGCTGAAGAGTAAAGGGAGAAAGAAAACTAATATCATGCAGGTGTTCTGGAATGTAATTGGAGTCCCGACACCTGTAATTTTGGGATTTAGGCTGCTGTTTCAGAAGACTCCTGAAATTCAGCTAGACACAGTGCCTCAAGGACCATCATAGGATATCTGGTCAGGCTACTCCAGAGGCCCAAATGCCTTCCTTTGTCCTAATAAACACTGCCTAGTATGGTTTCATCCATCTGTATTCTTAAAATAGGAACAATACTTGATTTACTCCAAATTTTACACATTAGGGCCCCACAGGGATTGAACCACAACTCAGGTTTCTCATGGGGCAGCTCCTGTTTTATGCTTTTAATATTTTTACTACTTACAAATATTCAGTCTCCCTGAAGGTGGGGTTGAGTGGTATCCCAATGGCTTGAGGCAGACCTGACATATAGCCATGGTTTGTTTTTCTTAACCACGGTTAAGTGTAACATCTGAACATTTAAAGTCAAGGATTGGCTACCAACTAGGATGTGGGCTTGCAAAGCAAAGTTTGTGTTAATCGTGGCTCTGTGTTATGTTTGCACTGAGAAAAACCATAGTTAAAGAGTTTCTCTGCATCTCTAGGCACTCCATTTGGAAGGTGACATGCAGTTTAGCTGGTGTCTCTCCATGGACATGCTGAGGGACAAGGCTTAGCTTGACAAATTAAACCACAGTTTGGGATCTTAAGGCAACAACCACTAACTTGGTAGTAACCTTTTGAATTTCAGCAACAAGGGTTAACAACAGAAAAAGACTTTGGCTTCTGTGAGCTGCTTGTAGGCCTTGTGTGGGCATCTGACTGGTCACTGTGTGAAACAGGATGCTAGGCTAGATGGACCATTGGCCTAATCCAATATGACTGCTCTTATGTTCTCATGATTAAAGCTTAATGTACAAAGTGGCCACTGTTTGAATGGGATACCCCTTCAGGAATGCAAACAGTGCCAGATACAACTATGTGAAACTAAATAAGCAAAGAATCTGTAAAATGCAACAGAAATGACTGGTCAGCAGCTACCTTCCTGAACAAGGAACTAGCTGTTTTCTCATTCACATGCCAGCTGTAATACCTTCCTAAAGTATTGATAACTCAAAAATGTAGATCAATGGACAGCATAATCAGCCTGATTAATGAACCTAGCTGTGTTCTAGTTGGTGCCTGCAGCTCTTTGTCTTGCTCTGTAAGGAAAACACCACAAAGTCTTTGGTTCTGTTCAGATGTCACATCAAGCAGACACTAAGCCTGAATGTGCACAAATCCACCCTGTTATCAGGGTCATCTCCTTGCCTCGTTCCTCCTTTCTCCCCTCTTGCACAGAGAGTGAGGAAAGAATCCTAACTCTCCGTAATGTACAGTTGCAAGCATCTTGTGCAACCAAACTCTGTTTCCCCCCCACAGTCTGTGATTCTTAGTATGCATTCCCCTTGAAGAGTGTTTGGAGGCTGAAGCTAGTGCAGAACACTACGGCTAGACTGCTGGTCAGGGCCAGTTATTGGAAGCATGTGACTCCAATATTACAGCAATTCCACTGGCTACAGATTCATTTCTAAGCCCAATTCAAGGTACTAGTTTTGACCTTTAAAGCCTTGCACGCTTGGGATCGAGTTATCTGGAGGACCGTCTTCTCCCCTGTGATCCCAGGAATCAAGATCACAGGGAGAAGCCCTCCTAACTGTCCCATCAATCAAAGAAGCTAATTTTGTGAGTACACAAGAGAGGGCCTTTTCAGTGGTAGCCCCACAATTATGGAACAACCTCCCCAGGGAGGTGTGCCTGGCCCCTCTCACTTGTTTTTCTTGGGAGGCAGTTAAAGACGGTTTTATTTAGGACTGCATTTGGTTAAGTTTAGTAGCAGTCTTGAGTAGTGATTTTCACTGTTTGGTTATGTTTTTAATGCATTTTATCCTGTGTTTTATCTCTGTTTGTAAGCCACCTTGAGCTCCTTAAAGAAGAAAGGCGTCCAATAAACATGTTAAATAAATAAAATGTTAAAACCTAATTTATAATCCCATCCAGTGGGGAGAAATCCAGATAAGCTGCACACTGGCATTCATACATCACAGGCAGGGCTATTTTTGGGCAGGAACGCACAGGAATAGAGTTCCAGCTGGCTCCCAAGTTGGCCACGCCCAGCAGGAACTCATTAGCATAATAGGCCACACCCAACAGCAGAAACTCATCAGGATTGGCTACATTAGGGGTGTGTGGCCTAACATGCAAAAGGGTTCCTAGGTTTTGACAACAAACAAGGTAAACAGAATAAGAAGCAAAAGGTGGGTGTGGCTGGATGACCACACTTCTGCTAACATTGGGGTGTGGCCTAATATGTTAATGTGCTGTGTTGTCATGGGTGTGGCCTAATATGCTAATGAGTTTGTGCTGTTGGGTGTGGCCTATTATGCTAATGAGTTCCTGCTGGGCTTTTTCTGCAAAAAAAGCCCTGATCACAGGTAAGGCAAGTTAGAGAACAATCCTAACCAAGTCTACTTGGAATTCTACTCAGGCCTCTTCAGTGAGGCTTAGTCACAGGAAAAGTGTTCTTAGGACTGCACTGCTAATTTTAAATCAGGATTCTTTCAGCATGTTCCATGCAAGAAAGGAGGAAAGAAGCAAGGAGTTGTGCACATGTCTGGCAACAAGCCAAGTTCATGCCCACCCAGGCTAAGTGGTGGCTTGATGTGACGTCTGTGTTCGGCCTTTGCCTGCCTGCCTGCCTCCCATTTAGAGAGTCATCTCTAAATCACACTTCCCATTCCTAAATGGTAGCAAGTGAGTTAGCTGGAGATTGCAACGAGGGCACAGAGCTGACGTCAGGTTGCCGTTTGCACAAAGCTGCTGGTTTTTTAGCTGTTTCTTTATCCTCCAAACAGCTGGCTGTTTGTGATTGCCTAAGTTTTCCATTTTTCATGTACAGTGTGTAGTCTGATTTCTGGTTTTACTGAAAGCCTCTTTGGGGGCATTAAACAAAATTCAGGGAAAAAAAAAAGTAACAGCAGCATTTAAAGGTGAGGTTTTTGATTGGGAAGGTGCATGCCTGAGAACTTCCTGGCACCCAGTCATTGGATGCCTTCACATCTCTGACGATTTAGCACCACCACATGTTTAGTTCATGCTGTCCCTTCATCCTCTCACATGGAATTTCCCCTTCCCTACCTGTCATTCAAGAAGGACCCAGTGGAGTATTAGTGACAAGAGGCTGAGCTGTGGTCCGGGGGGGGGGGGGGGGGGGGGCGCACTGGTTCAAATCTCATCTCCGCCACAAAACCAGTGGGTGGCATCTCTCTCTCAGCCTCAGCCCCACACACATATGAAGAAAACAATGGCCTACCTTACTGGGCTGTTGTAAGGATTAAATCTACGTTAAACACTTTTAACTCTAAAAGTGCAATAAATAGTATCTGTTGCATTTCTTGTTACCCTTCCTTTAAAAAAGTCCAGAGCAGCATACTTCATTTCCCCTCACAACCACCCAGTGAGGTAGGTCAGGTGGAGAAAGGGACTGCTTGAAGGTCCCCAGTGAGCTTCATGGCAGAGTGGAAAGCTGAACCTGGTCCTAATCTGACACTCTCAAGCCCTTTGCCACAACTGGCTAAGATTTCTCCTTCTTCTTCTTAAATATAATGTGGCATTAGCCACTGCTTACAAACTATCTTCTGACCCTGGTTTAATGCCAACTATGGTTTGCATATAAATACAACACCACATCATGGCTGACACTAAAAAGGGAAGGGGTAGGATTTGATAGAGAGTAGGAAGTGTGCAAGCCAGGATATGCTCCCTATCTCTTAACCATGGTTATGTCTGCACTAGGCCTGAATATCACAAAATCAGCAAGCAAGAACATTATTTCTGCAACTTACAATTGGCTGTAATTGTGCTCCTGGTAGCATGAATTGCATTTGCTGTGCAAACATGGCTGCAGCTGTCTTTTGCTGGATCAGGTTGTTGCGTCCATTGATTTCGAGTTGTGTTTTTAAGTGCGGTGGAGGATGAAGGTATTTGCAGTTCTCTCGAGTGCAGCGGCCCTGGAGCAGGGGGAGGGAACACACTTCAGTGAGCAGAGTACCCCCAACAGTAGAAGGAAATGGATTTATTAGAACATTTAGATCCTGTCTTTCCTCATGGTTCAAGGCAGATGTAGCCATCAGACCGGCCCCATGAGCCCCAACCAGTGAACGACCCTGGGCCGGAAGAGACCCCTGGCTGCTGGTTGGGGCTTGTGGGTCTGGTCAGCTGGCTACAGTGGCTTACAATAATGCTTGACATTTTCAGTTAAAACCAAAAATAAAATAGCCAGCCCAAAATCTCTCCCCCCTCCTCCCTTAAAAGATCCCTGCCATTCAACTCCAGCCCTGGCAAACACGCAGGCCTTGCAGCACCTCCTGAAGCTTTCTAAAGGGGGAGGGGGTTCCTTACTTCCTCAGGGGGCCCATTACACAGAGCCACAACAGAAAAGATCCAGACTCTGGCTGTTGCCAGATGGGCCACCGTAAGTGGTGCAATAGACAGGCTGCCTGATGATCCTTCAAATTCTTAGGAACTGGTGAAAAATGCATCTTACCAACTTGAAAAAAGACTTTATTTATATTGTTCTCACTTTCAGATCCTAGCCTCTACAAGATTCGCTGGAGCACAGAGATGTATTGCTGGGATGATAAATTATGGGGTCAATGGAAACATTGCATTTTCTTAATATATTACATTTTATAATTATTTTATTATGCTTCTACCCTACCCTTTCCCCCAACGAGTCCAAGGTAGGACCCTAGGGTTTGCTTGGTTGTTTGCTTTTTCCATTTTATCCTGTGAGGCAGGTTAGGCTGAGAAGCAGTGACTGGGCCCAAGGCCACTCCACCGCATACACCCACAGGGTCTGAGTGCACTGGTCATTCAGAAGAGCATGCAGTAAGATACAAAGGGCCCTGACCTGGATGGCCCAGGCTAGCACGATCCCGTCCGTTTTGAGAAGCTAAGCAGGGCTGGCCCTGGTTAGTACTTGGATGGGAGACCACCAAAGAATTCCGGGATCACTATGCAGAGGCAGGCAATGGCAAACCACCTCTGAACGCCTCTTGCTTTGAAAACCCTACGGGGTAGCGCCGTAAGTCAGCTGTGACTTCATGGCACTTTACACACACGCAAGATACAAAGGCAGTCAGTATCCTGCAAACCAACACCATGCAAGTCTGAGCCAAGACAGACTGCAATAAATGTTTGACTGGTATGGATCCTGCAGATATTCTGGGCCTCTGTTCAAGCCTCGTTGGCCCCTTGACATTAAGGCCACCTTTGCGAAAACAATCTCTCTCTTGAAGCTGGCCTACTGTCCTTAGGGCCCACATCAAGAGTCAGCATGGCAAAGCACCTGCTAACTGGAGGTGCTTGGCTTAACCTTCCAGAAACGGGAGATTGCCCTAGAGATTCCTGCAATGTCTCTGGGGTCACTCAGGCAATTTCTCGTTTCATGCTGGAAAAGGCACCAAGAGGCAGTGGAGAGCCACTCTTGCATACTTCTGTTACTCTCACTGACCCCATCAAGGCTTAAAGGAGAATGAAGGGAGTCCCACTCCCCTTTCTCCCCCAGGAAGGCATGTGTGTCTGTGCACATGAGCACATTCTGGGGGCAGTGTGTTTAGTGGAAGGGCCACCAGAGCGCATCACGCCCAAAGCCTTCTAAAATCCACAGCTGGCCCCGGCTATTCTATATAAAAGAGAATATTTGCAAAGGATATAACTATATCTGCAAATCCCTTCCAGCTGAGTCCCCCCCCACACACACTTGATATGCAAGGCTCACACTCGAGACAATGCGTATTTCTACCAAATTTAGAAATTTGGATGGTTTTGCGTGCACAGGAATGAGTATGCTACTGGCTTCCCAGGCAGCATGATCCCAGAGCCAAGATTTAACTTGGAAATGTGTTATTTCAATTGTCGCCTTTGCAGAGCATTAAATCAGCTTGCGGACCACGCGGAGGGGGTGAGGAGAGAGCAGACCGAGGTGGGGAGGCAGGCCAGCTCTTGGTGGGGAGGCTCCTGAATCTGCATGCTGGAGACCTGAGAAAGCCTTTGTCTGAAAACAACCTTTTTCACTTGAAGGGGCTATAAAATTCATCCTGCGAGAAAAGCCTGAAGCATTTCCATGCATCTCCAAAACTGACATGTCTGTCTCCCCGCTGCCCTTTCTCAGTGTCGCCAATGATAATAATTGTAAGGATATTCTACTCGTTAGAAGGACCCGTAAGCCAAGTGGCAGAGAGCTCAAGCTTTGCATGCGCAGTGTTCTCAGGTTCAGTCTTCAGCCTCTCCAATTAAAAGGATTTCAGGCAGCACGGCGGGGAAAGACCCTTCGAGCCTGAGACCCTGCAGAGGTGCTGGCAGGTAGTGGACAGCACTGGGCTCAGCGGTCCGGGGGTCTGACTCAGTATAAGGAAGCTTCAGTTTAACACTTGGAACGTACAGTGAGTACAATTCTGGAGAAATGAGATGAGCTCCCCAAATAACATTTCTGAAAGGGTTCTTGTTACATTCTGATCATTTTTGTGGCAAACGTCAGTTGTAAGAACTGAACAACTTGGAGGGACATCGTATTCCTAAACCCAAATCATTCTACAGGCTTCCATTCTTCTGCATTCGCTTCTCAAAAACATCGTGGTCAGCTTGTCTTCCGGAGTGAAGAATACACACGCTATCGTCATCTTCTACTTTTGAAATGTTTTTCTATGCTTTCCATGTACCTAAGAGGCTCCCTCGTTATGGTGTTATCATTTCACATACCGCAATAAGAGATGTCGGCATCTGAATCACAGTGCGAACTCCGGGTGCATGCAAAATTTCATCTACTTAGAGAGAGGTGACTGTATACATGCATTTTGAGGAGGGCACATCCCAGATCCAGGTGCATGTCCATCGGGGTACAAGGTACACTTCATCTAGTCATAGTGACTAAAGGGATCCTCCACATCCAGAGGCAGTAAACCTCTGAATGTTAGTGCTAGCGGAAAACACCAGGGGAAGGCCTTGACCTTGATGCCCTGTTTGTTGGCCCACCAAAGCCTATTTCTTACAGGAATATGGATATATATTTGATATTTCTGTCTGAACAATCTAAGCCTTGTGCCTTAGGAAGTTCTTGAAGGAGAAAGGGGGAATTGTAAATCAATTTGAGTAAAACAATAAATAAAACGAATGTGTTCTCTCCAGCAGCAAACAGCCAAAATAAGTTTTTAGATGAAGTAATCTGGCCTTGGGGAAGGGTGCATGAATGAATGAGCAGAAAAACTGCAAGGATGACGAGGACTGGCAGAATCCTTCTCCTTTGCATCAGGTCTGATTCAGATTGCACCTCCAGACTATTAAACATGTCCACAGCAATAGAGAACCGGTAAACATAGTTGTCATCCCCACCCCATCCCAACCATGCACACAACACTTTCACTGCAAATCTCATAATCCAATTCCACAACTTTCCCTGCCTGATTGAATCTCCCCCTCAAGGTCACCTGGGGATGGCGGTCTCTCCAACCTTCCTCTGGATGTGTGTGCTGAATACTGCTGCAGCCAAGGAGCCCGCCTGCCGCACACAGACAGAGCGGAGCGTTCCAGGCCCGAGAGACTAAATGTCAAAGCACCACGCTGACGAATACAAATTGCAGTTGCTGCCACGATGGGGACCCAAGCCCTCCCGTTACCCTGGACTCCAGACCAGCTCTAGACCCGCCCTGAACAGGGGTTTTGGTGAAGAGAGCCCGGACAACTCATGGAATCCCAGGCTCTTCTGAACAACCTATGAGAAGCATGTCAGATCCACATGATGTCTTTATAACAGGCACACTCAAATAAAAGCATGGTTTATATGGTATGCATTTGTTTATGTCAAATATGATGCAGACCTCTTTTTATGTAGCTGAAATCAAGACCTACTGGGGCTGTGGGGAGGGGGGCTGCTTGAGGGCCAGATTTGTGCTACACGTGGTAATGGCGCGTCAAACCCAGCATAAGACCTTTTCTGTCAACAATGGCATTGAAAGGGAGAATCTCAGGAGGGGCAGCTTCTCCACATGCTGCACGGCGATGGAGAAGGAGGAGGAGGAGGAGGAGAAGAAGAGAAGGAGGAGATTGGATTTATACCCTGCCCTTCACTACCCGAAGGAGTCTCAGACTGGCTTACAAACTCCTTCCCCTTCCCCTCCCCACAACAGACACCCTGTGAGGTAGGTGGGGCTGAGAGAGCTCTGACAGAAACTGCTCTTATTTCAAGAACAGCTGTGCAAGAACTATGGCTTGCCCAAGGTCAGCCAGCCAGGTGCAAGTGGAGGAGTGGGGAATCAAACACGGTTCTCCCAGATTAGAGTCCGCGTACTTAACCACTACACCAAACTGGCTCTCAGAGAAGCTCCAGAAGCCCAGGGTTTTTTTATTCCATGAAAGGAATGGGCTCATCTTGAGCTCCAGGCCCAGCCTTGGTGAGTATTTTTTATTTATTTATTTTTCATATTTATACCCCGCCCTCCCCGTAAGCGGGCTCATTTTCTATTTTATTTGCCATTTGCTGAAGCATGCTTGCGTTTTAAATGGGATGCTATGGAGAATGTGGGTTGATATACAAAAGACTTCAATCCTGTACTATCTGGGGAAAGTTATTGTGTGCAGGGTTACCATTCTGCTGTGGCCAGTCCAGGTCTCTGGCTACACCTCAGTGATTGAACACCCCGGTGGCTGTACATGATTCCACCACACAACTCCAGTGCTGAAGGATCCATTCAAGAATACTTGTAGTCATGGGCTCTCCCTCGCCTGTGCAGGAGCACAAATCAAGGTTTCAGACGATCCAAATCAGGTTTCAGGAGAGAGGGGAAAAAACTGCAGAAAGGACGGCCCTTGACTTACAGGAAAGCTTCTACGGTAAAGTTCTCTCTACTCTTTCAATGGCGAGGACGGAGACTCCGATCAAGCACTGCCAGGGCAGCTGATCTTACTTGGGGGCAGTGAAGCAACAGGAGCTAAGAGTGGGAGGTGGAAACTC